TAATTGGGTATGTTGGGAAAATATTTGCAGAAGTGAAGTAGAGGGTGGGCTAGCTGTTAAAGATCTTAGAACATTTAATCTTACATTGTTGGGCAAGTGGTAGAGTAGACTTGCGAGTGGGAAAGAAGGGCTCTTGTATAGCATTATTAAGGATAAGTACAGAAGTGTTGATAGTAGTTGGCCAAAGTGGGTACTTAAGGGTAGACAAAAGGGGTCTCTATGGTGGAGAAATATCTGTAGGTTAGACCAATTGGATTGCAATAATGAGGGATGGTTGTCCAAGGGATTCAAAATTAAAATGGGGGGTGGCAATGCCGTTAGCTTTTGGAAAGATGTATGGGTAGGGGACTGGCCTCTAGCAAACCAATTTCCTAGACTGTTCATTGTTTCTACAGATAAAGACAAGAGAATCTATCAAATGGACAATTGGAAGGAAGGAAATGGCAATGGGCATTACATTGGAGAAGATCGCTACATGATTGGGAAAAAGGCAACCTTACCAAGCTCCAAGACTTAATCAATAAATCACAACCAATCTAAGATAAAAAAAAAAAAAAGATTGTTGGGCTTGGGGGCATGACAAAAAAGGAGTTTATACAGTAAAATCAACATATAATCTTCTCTCTAGTAGCAACTCAAACAATAGATCATGGATACAAAAAAGATATGGAGCAGACTTGCTTGGCAAGTATTGTAGGATAGAATTCCTGCAAAGTCTAACCTATACAAAAGGAGTATTATAACAAATCCTAATCAAATGTTATGCTCTCTATGTGGTGAGAATGACAAAGATGTCAACCATTTGTTTATTCATTGCAAAGTGGCATATTCTGTGTGGTCTAAATGCTTACAATGGTGGAGGATCTTCTTGGCTTAAGCTAAGAACTGCTATGAGACTTTTAAGCAACACCATCCTTTCTTTAAAGGTCAATTAGTGAGACTAGGTGGGATGTGGTGTGGTTCTCTATTATATGGTCCCTGTGGATGGCAAGGAATGCAAAGATATTTAGGAACTAGGAGTATGATGCGGACAGAATTTTTGAATTAGTGCAGCTTCGAGCTTTCTACTGGATCAAAGGAAAGGTGCCTGCCTACTCCTTTAGTTTGTATGAATGGCTATTGGAGCCAGCTTTGAGCCTAAAAGATAAAAGGAGCAATTAACTTGGGTTTAAAATGATGGACTGTTCTGTTTTGTACCTTTGTAAGCATCATAGAGCTTCTGTTGTCTTTTGATGCTCTATGTTAGGGTGCACATTTTCTGGGGGGGTTCAATAAGCTGTATTGGTGGGTGATTAGAAACAGTATTGAATTGTGCAAAGGGCAGGAGTACCCCTTGTACTCCATTTAATAAAAATCACTTGCTGTGAAAAAAAATATATATATATATTATCTTTTCTCTTTCCTTCAATCTCTAAAAGTGTTCCAATAAAATTTTTACCTATATTCTTACCTACATGCATTGCATTAATATTATCATGCAATAAGTTGAATTCCCAATATGGTAATTCAAAGAAATTATTTTTCTTCTTCCATGAACTTGCAACAACAAGGTCATCACATTCCTCTTCATCATCTGCATCAGCATCCTCCTGTTTTGCCCTTTTCTTACCTTTCTTACTAGCTTAGGGCTTTTCCTTATACTTAAAGCTTAGTCCATTTAACTATTTTAAAACATCCAACCCAAATATGCAAATAAAAGCATGTCTCCACTCCTTGATGCCATCAAATGATTTACTTCTAATCTAAATTTATGGTTCAACTATAACCATCTACAATGATCCATGTAACAAAAATTTTTCCCTTTGTACAACTACCTAGAAATCATTTGATTAGTACAGCAAGGACAACCATTGCATCCTCTTGTGCTATAACCAGATAAGATTTGTATATCCAAGGTGATCACTTATAGTCCACATTAAGGTGGTAGGCAAGATAAAAGTTTCTTTTGATGTTGCATCCTATATCGGTATGCTATCCCATAACTTTTTAAGCTTATCTATTAGAGGCTATAGATAAATGTCAATGTCATTTCCTGGGAGTTTTAGTTCAAGAATAATCATTAACAAAATAAATGAGAATTGTTTCATATAAGACCAAGGTGGTAGATTGTATATAATTAAAATAACTAGCCATATACTATAGACACTACTAATTTGTCGAAATGGATTAAAACCATCTAAACCAAGCCTAATGTTGTAGGAATTGAGGCAAAATCAAGGTATCATTAATCAAATTCTTTCCAAGCTTCACCATCAATAGGGTCTCTAAGTTTTCCATCCTTAGTACAACACTCATCATGCCATCTTATGTTAGAAGAAGTTTTAGATGACATAAAAAGTCTTTGGAGCGTAGGTATTAAAGGGAAGTAACACAAGATCTTAGCAAGTTGCTTCTTTTTGGCAATTTTACTTGACCCTTCTAGTTGTTAGCTTTCACTAATGTTTGGGACCACTTAGAAGTACCACAAACTTCACATGACTCTAGATTTTCCTTATCCCCTCTAAACAACATTCAATCATTAAAGCATGTTGTAATCTTTTGATAACCTAGGCCAAAAGACTTAAGGAACTTTTTTGTTGCATAAGTAGATGCTGGAATTTTGATTTTAGGAAATACTTCATTCAATAATTCCATAAGAATAGTAAAGGATTTATCATACTAGCTATTTAGGCATTTCATTTGGAATAGCCTAGCAACAAAAGAAAATTTAGAAAAGGCTTTGCAACCACGATATAATGGTGTATTCACATCTTCCATTAGTTGATTTTTCAACTGCTCAATTATTGCCATGATAAGGCCTTTCTCCCTTTGTCATACCATCAAGATGTGATGCATACACACCATTATCATCTTGTTGATTGTCTATAGGAAAGTTAAGAATTCCAAGAGCATCTTACACTAAGGCCTGCATCTCATCATGCTCATTTTCTGAAGCAACATGCAATTCAAAAAGCCTTTCAAAGGAAGATTCGTTTTGCATAAGAAACTGATCAAAAGAAGATAATGTGCTCCATGGCAAAACCAATGAATGTACACTTGCATAAACCTTCTAGAGATTAGATGTTCTTTAACTTCATCACCTGTTAACAAGTGATAGTTTTGCACAATCCACATAGGAATAAAGTTGTTATTAGAAGAATTTTGTCTTGCAAAATTAATGAAGCTCTTAACACTATCACAATATTCTTTAAACAATGGTGGTTTATTAATCCAACTTTTATCCATTAGACAAAAATTTAACAATATGAGATTTAAAAAAAAGAATATTAGGATGAAGTTTTTATTTATAACTATTTAGTCACTTTAACAATATTATGACTACTACTAAAAGAATGCCTTTGCTTATTTATCTCTCATTTCATATCATGGCTAGAACACTATCTAATCTTCATAATAGAAATTCAAAGCACTTCTCTACATAGAACAATAGCAAAAAAATTTAATGTGTTTACAGAAACACTAATATCATATATCATTTTTCCTAAATAATAAAAGTTGAAGTTTTAACCATTAAAATATCATCAATCAAACTAAAAAATAAACATTCATTCTCAAAAACAAGCAAAAAAATAAGACAATAAAAAATAATCTTTCATTTTCTCAATAGCCAAAAGACTAGTTACTAAAAGAATCAAAAGAAGCAAAATCATGCAAGCTAAGCGAAATTATAGACTACCAAACAATCTCCTAGACACTTCAATTTAGATTCAATAGTGTTGGGATTAGGCCCAATGCCCACTTTGGGCCACATATAACAGGCCCAACTATGCATGCACAGACCCAAGAGGAGTAGACATACCCACGTGAGCAGCGCCACGTGGGCCAATGAGTTACTTACATGTATAGAAGCCTGTCAGTCTTTGGGGGTATAAATACCCCCCTCAACTACCAACAAGGGAGGTAATGAATCTCTACGCTTCTCTCTCTGCAATTACTCCTCGAGAGCATCTCTCTCTAGAATACTGAGTATTGCTGACTTGAGCGTCGGAGTGTTTTCCTCGAGGAAACAACCTCGGGATTTTCAGGTGTAGAAGCAGCTGAGAACTTCAACAGTGTTGGACTGCGAAGCTGCCGAAACAAATAGAAAAAACGGAAAGTAAAAACTAAAAGTAATTGAAAATAAATTTGAGTTACTACAAAATTGATAAGAGACTAAGGTAATGCAATTCTAAGTTCTCAGAATGATTACCTAAAGAGAGAGGGAGATCAGTGTTGCAGCTGTCACTGGAAAATGTCTAGGCTATCATCGGAGTCGAGCAAAATTCATTAGAGCCTTGGTCTTGAGCAACTAACACAGGACTTGGACTGAATACCCCCAATTAAAAGAACTGCATTTAATTGGACATGCAATCAGAAACCCTATACGTAAATAGCAAATGAAAACAGAAATTAAACTTTCAATCGAAAAGAAAATGAGGAAAACCTTCAATCGAAACTTCAAAGAAATTGAGCTAAAGGATAATGACAATGAAACTGAAAATGAGGACAATCAGAATTGAAATTGGAATTGGAATCGGAAATGAGCTCATGGAGAAATTCTTGGAAGAAAAGAGAATGAAATTTGTTTTCTAGATCCTTTCACAATGAGTTTTAGAATGTTTGGGAAAAATGCTTTCTCGACTATAAATTGTTTTCTAGCTCCTTCCGTTGCTTCTTCTTCTTCTTCTTCTTCTTCTTTTAAATTTTAATTTCTTTCATATTTGGCGCTGTTTCCAACCTACCTCTTTTTTAATTAATTCCTTGTGTTTATTAAATGAAACATAGGAATCTACCTATGTTCTGTAAAACACCACTACAGTAAAATTGATAAAAACAAGAAAAAGAAAAAAAAAAAAAGCTTAGTTGATTGGCGTTTAGTACAAACACAAATTTAAAAAAAAAAAAAAAAAAAGAAAGCAAGCAATAGGCCTTTTTCTTGTTGTGTGAGCAGTATCTGATAAGCTCATCACCAATTACTTAGCAAAAGCGATTGCATCATTAGACCAAGGATGAGGTAATCTATTGATTGCAAATAACCCAAACGTAGCCTCTTCCTACTTTAATATATACTTTCCATTAGCAAAATATAGATCTAAAGTTTGATCAAGTGATGGTAAAGAAGATTCAAGAAGAAAGTAAGATTGATTTCTACAAGATTTAGCCTTATTTTATCTTTTGCTTTTACTAGATTTTTTAGTTGTTAAACATTCAATTTAAATTCATGTATGTCTACAATTTTAATTAAATTTGAAGTCTTTTAATTTCTACTACAATCTATGTTTTGGTCGAATTTTAGCTTATTGCACTTTTCAGACTTCTATCAAATTCCATTTTCTACCTATAGTTTATGTTTCTGTCTAGCTATGTTTTCTACACTCTCTTTTGTTAATTTCCAACACTTTATTTTAGGTTATCCACTTTCTAATACTTTAATTTAATTTTTCTTGATACTTATTTACCATAACCAAAGTCCTTAATATGCTTTCAAGATAATTTTGAGCTCACTGTATAGGAACTAATCCCTCATTCCTTCCTGTTGTTTGATCTGGACGCATTTTATTTTAAAAGACATTCTTTCAACAACCCTTTCTATAAAGAAAAACCAAGTGGAAGTAAAGAGTTGTCAGCAAATCCTTTTCCTACCACAAGCTGTGGCTAACGGGATATTAAGGGTAACTGTCCCACTCATCATCAAGCAAAGCTTCTACAATTCTTTTTAAAGCACAATGTTTATTTATTAATTATCCCACTAACACTTCATCACAATATCGAATTGTTGGTATACATGTTAAAAAATTTTGCAATGGTAATATAACTAACCCCTCCTCTTTTCTCTTCTTTAATTTTGTTGCCTTCTTTGCACTTGAAGAATATTGCCTGCCAAACAAGATAATATTTTATACACACGATTGAGATGTGTATCTACTTTCAAATAATAGAATCACAATATTAACAAAATAAAATATGTAATTTAAAAGGATATTAGTATTGCCTATCATCCAGAAGTATATTATCAATACTATTTCCATTGGCAACAATTTCTAAGTCGACATCTCTGGCATGGAGGGAAAGAACACAATCATTACAAAAAATTAGACATCCTGGACCAAAAGATAAGGGAAAATTTTTCTATCTTGCAATCTATATTTTTTTAGACTTGTTATTCATTTTTTTGCTAAGCTATGCCTCGATAGAATCCATAATCTGTTTCAGTCACCAGCCTCTTCTTCCTCTTCTTTAATCTTT